GCTAAGAAAATGTTTATCTCCCTGAGCTTGGCCTTCATAATTCCATTCCATCACAGATAGGTCATGTAGACCAAGCAGTACAGATTTTTGGAAATCATTCCAATGTTTGGTATCAAAAGATTCATAAAATATCTGTTTATTAAGTTGGTCGGCAAGTAGCCTGCTTGTTCAAATATTCCTTATTGGAATTTTATTTCACCTCTGAGAAAAAAAGCTGTTTTTGTTGCCTTTGTTCTCCTAAATCTACTAAATAGCAGGGTCACAATTGGAAGAAAAATGTAGCAATTTGATTTTATGTGCAGTTATGCTTCAGTAAGGTAAGACATGCGGCTCTTGGCTCAGAGTGGACATCAGACACTAATCAAAGCTGTCACACTGGTACTCCAAGATAGGTTGGCAATTGGCATCTTTAATGATCAGCAAGCCCAGTTTGGCAAAGCAGTCTGTTCCACAAGTGAGTAGATGGCAGGAGCAGGATTGAGTTTAATGAAGAAATTGATGCAAAAACTGGAATCCAGAAGCTCCTTGTGGATTGTCAGCATCCCCACAGGCTGCCCTCTGAATATTCAGGGTCAAACATTTTGGACCTCCCTTTTTTTCATTTTTGGAATTAGAAGGGGTAAAGGGATAAACAGAATGCCTTAAGCCTTGTCTTAAACTACTCAAACTGCACATGGACCCCAAGATGGCAGCCACAGCTACATGACTGAAAGCCTGCCCATTCTTTTCACCTGTCTCCTGTGTGCAATGCACATAAAAAAGGGGTAAGACTTCAATCACATAGGCACAACTGAAGGTTACCCCTGACCCCATGAATGCCCTTGACCCAATGAGTCTGTTCCCTGCTCACTTCACCACCTCTACATATTATGCAAAATCTGGAATGGCCCTTGAGTGATGGAAATTGCACTCTTTGGGTTTAATATTCCATAAAAATCTCTTTTTCCCTGAAGTCCTTTAAAGAGTTCTTGCTTCATTCCTTTTATATGAATGAGTCACTTTGAAAACCAATTTAAATAATTTTCGGTCTTAACATGGCCTTTATAACTAAACCTGCCCTAAATTACCTCCCAACAGATTAGTAGCCAAATCACATTTGTGGAAAGGATGCAAAATAGAACATATGGAAACTCCAGTCAACAGATAGCCTAGATAAATTGTTTAAAGATTTCCTTTGTACTGATGGCACACACATTTGGGATACTCACTGTGCAAGAGCTACAACCTGCTCTTTGGTGGTTGGTAGTGGCAGAATTGTTCTGGAAATCTCAGTAATATAATCAAACAAGATGGGGTCAAAAGGGGGGAGCCATAAAACTTTTCCAGGGACTTCAGCTATTTTAGGTATTAATGCCTCCATGTCCTCTTCTTTTGGTTTTTCTTCTTCTTTTTTCCCTTTCCCCTTCCTTTTGTAAAAAGTCAACACCAATTATTAGGAACACCTTTGTTTCCAAAGCTTTTATTATAATCAGCATAGAAAGGACAGGGGCAGGTACAGTAGATATCACAAGAAATGTTTCTATCATGTTAGAATTTTTCAGCACTTTTCAATGATATCTCTCCTAACTTCATGTTCAAATGAATGTTTTTGTGTTTTCTCCTACACTTTTTCATAGAAAAGCAACCCCATACATACCAGCCCAAAAGACTTTAGCTAGCAGCCATAAAATATCTGTATTTCCTACCACCAATAGTGCAGTTGTCAGTAATAGGAGACAAGTCTTTTTCAGCAACTCCCAGATTATGATCCAGGAGTTTCTTATGATCCCCAGATGACAGGCTTTCAATGCATATATTAGGCTATGCACGTTTTGTGAAAAAAATTCAGGTTGAAAAAATAAATAATTCCCTTCGCTGGCAATGGTTTCATTTGGTTTTGGCAGTGTTTAAGTGGTATCCCACCAGAATATAAAGTTTTTATGGTAATGGTGGAACAAGTATTATAATTAAGTAACTAACTGAACTGGAATTGCATAAATCCAGTCATTTAAGGACAATAAAGCTCTACAGTAGTGAGTAAAAAGAGCTTTCTCTTTAAAAAGCTGAAAATACAAGAATAAGCAAGCAAGCAAGCAGGCAAAAAAGCAGTAAACAAAAATACAAATGCAACAATGAATCAATAACTCTCATTAATTGAATCAAAGGAAAGCAAGCTGCTTCAAAACTATTATAGTGCACGATCAATTTATAGCTGTGTTTCTCTGCTCATCTTAGATATTAAGACATGTTAGCTCTGAAGAAGGCTGAAAAAGTGCTTCTTCCCATATATTATGCCTGAGCCCTGAGGTCATCATTTGGGATCTTATTCTGAAGTATGACTGATGGCAACTTGGGAATGGGGTCTTTTCAGCAATAACCTTACAGCTACAAAACACCCTTCTAGAAAAGTCTTCCTCACACTTATTCTATGTCCTTCTCACTGAGAGATACAGACTTTTTAACTTTAATTCAGACTGTTTAATTTCCTTCTGCTGCTAAGCTATTCTGTGTTTTTAAATAGCATTATCTCTGATATTTTTAGTCACTTCTGTACTGAACTGTCTCAATTAACAGTTATTTTATTATGTTTTATTTGTGCTTTTCTTAGGTGTCACCCTGAGAGCTTTTACCTGCACAGCTACTAATAAACTGCTGGAAATACAAGACCACCAGTCTACTATATGCTAAATTAAGTACTGTATACTGGTATCATAGAGACACGGTATAGTTACCCACTTAAAACAGTTCAAAACAACTAATAGCTGTACAGATTTCTAAGTGGTTTGGAATTGCTAGGTTTAACTGAATTAAATTGTCAGAGATTGCCACACACAAGTTACCATTGCTTTGGTTTCATTTAGGTGCCTTGCAGTAATTTTAAAATGTTAAATTTTTAAGCACTTAACAAAGTGTCTGAATTCTCAGCACTTATTACTAAACAGTTTGGGAGCCAGAAAAAAGAGTAATATATGGAGTATGGACCCAGATGAATGCTGGGCTATTTTGGTCACATGTGGTTTAGTAAAACTGGCTACTGCAGGGAAAAAAAAAAACTGAGCATGTTCAGAAGTGAAACATTTCAATTATGTCCTGTGACATGATGAATGTGTGGAAAAATCCACTAAGAAAAAATATTGGCTGCAGCTCAGTCTGCATAACATGGATGGGCTGTTTGCTGTAATTAATACTATTCTCTAAGGTAGAAGCTCATTTATCCATTCAAGTAGAAAAAGGCTTCCTGTTGATATGAGCAACAAAAGGCAGAGTTGTGACAACCTTCAAAAGATGACTCTGCCAGACTATAAAGAGGCTATTTGAACTATATTTTATATCTTATAGTGGAAAACAGTACTATGCTAACAAACCTTCCAGACCGTACAGCTACTTTAGTGTATTATCCATGTCTCTGCAAGGTTGCTGCCATTAACTCAAAATTAGCAATTATTACATGCAGCCCATGTAATTGAAATAATATTCTACTCTTTCCATCTTTACCCCTCTTCCATTTCTCTCTCCTTCTTCTGCTTTGTAGTGCTTGTTTTTAGATCGTAGGCTCTTGGGCTAAACTTTACACTTGAGCTTGAAACAAGAATACCAATACCTTGATCCTTTCTCTCTAACGCTTCCTTTACTGATTGAAGAAGACCGTCCTGGAGACTCTGCTTTTTCATCCAGTGAACTATCAAAATTACAAAATAATTGCCAATTTCTCTTTGATTTCTGTAAGGCATAGGAATTCTTAAGGGACTGAGAGGACAATGAAAGCATTATTAAGAATCCTCAGGTGCCTTCCAAGTGAAAGCAATAGGCAAAATGATTCACTGTGGGAGAATCCTTCCCTCACACTCCAAATCAAATACAGTACTAAAAACTTCTATTTTATACTAGTTTAATTCTTCTGCTTTCTTCCACGTTTTATAACTACTTAGTAAGCAACAACTTTTAAAATTATTTGAATCAGTCCACTCAGCTGCAATCAGTAGGCACCTCATAAATAGCTGCTTTTTATTTTTATCAAGTAGCACTATTATTATGGAAGCCAATGGAGCTTTCAACACATTAAGCTGAGCCATTTTGGATGAATCCAGCAATTGTGGTTTGTAAATATGATCTATGGTTTAGACTTATGTGAAAACAGCCAACTGTGATTTACTGAATACAAGCCATGGCTTAATGCAATATATGGACTTTTCTTCCACTGTTTTGTAGGGCAGAATCAAAAAAAGCTTTCATCTCCAAACATGACTGATGGAAGGGAAATATCTATCACCCACAAAGGATCCATGGCTGCTGCTGGAGCGATGGATGTAACCTCCCAACAGTGCTTTGGTAGAATGCAAATTCTTCTCTCACGATGGGGGGAAAGGTTTGGGTCTTACCAAATCATCTTATCCAGACAGTTGTGTCACATGAACTGCTGTGTAAACTGTAAACACAGAAAAACTGCAGGAGCAGAAAGGCAGGTTTCTATTTTACTTGGAGCTTACAGCAAAAAATAAATGAGCAAAAAATAAATGCTACATGCTACTGGAAGCACTTCTGTATCCTCTTTGTGTCCACAACAGCACTAATTTTGTTTTTCATTTTTAGCAAAAGCAGTAGCAAAGAATAAATCCCTATTTACACGTATCAGAATAAGTTAGCTACCTTTTGATCACATTGAAATAAGTGTGACAAGTTATTTTTGAATCCTCTACTGTAAATATCCATAAGGACCCACTGAGTCTGATACGGTATTTTCTTGGAAAAATCTGCATAGGGTTGCATTGGGAACTACTGTAAGCATAGCAATCTAGTCTGGATCTAACCCACTTAATCTTTTGGGCATTTATTAAAAAGCCATTCACTACACAATAACAAGCTAGCTTTATAGAAACAAAAAAAAGGGGGGGAGGGGGGAAGCACCCATTCAATAAAGATCAAATGTGAATAGAAATAAGGTATATGTGTATATAAATTTATGTGTGTCTGCGTATATAGATAGATACACACTTATATAGTCTAACAATGGCAAATGCATTTCATTCCATGCTTGAATCAAGAAATATATGTGACTATTGGTATTGTCATATTCTTCTAGCATATTTCTTAAGTGATTATACAGAGAAAAAGACACAAGGGCTCTCTCTACTGTAGTTGAAATCAGAGCAGAGGAAACTGCAGGTATCAAGTATCGATTGGAGTTAGATGGTCTGTAATACTGACCCTTGCTGTTAAATAAAAATACATAAAATACAGTGTGGATTGGTAGATCTCATGTATGCTTTGGATATCACCAAGAAGGGTTTCCTCTGCTTAGCATTATTTTTGGATGAATGCATTTTCCCGATTCTGTATATAGTTAATAACATTCTGGATAATTTTACTGACTCTGGAAAATTTACTAGTGTTATTAATGTTTTCAGTTCTTTTCTGGACACAGAATACAATATTTGTGGCTTTGACTAGAAACCACCATTCTGTTTGATATAGGGTGAGAACAAAGAGAAAATATTCCATAAACTCATGTTTATCAATTACTTAAAAACCCCAAAGGAGTTTGAAGCAGGACCTTAGCATCACAATGGAATTCGTCTTAATCAGCATGGCAAAGTGATCTGCTACTGATGCCACCATGATGGATAGGGTGAATGGGATTACATGAAGTTAAATTGGTGTCTAAATGGTGCCACAAGATTTTTAAACGTGAGAGTTATTTGTACTTCACAGCATCTTGAATAGCTTTCTTATTTTAGATCATCATTCTTATGATTCATTCTTATCATCATCATCATCATTCTTATCATTCAAATGCTGATAAAGGAAGTGATTTGGTTTTCCCAAAAAGAAATCTAATTTATACATTTTTCAAACCTACAATTCATCAACCCTGGTAACAGCAATTACAAAAACTTAAATACTTACTTATTTCTGCTAGTTTTCCTGATATTACCAACAGACGCTCGAGTAACTATGGTCTCTGGTGGCTTTTCGTCGGCTGGAATGGAAAATGCTGTGGGATCACTGGAACAGGAAAGGATGTTATCGTTCCACCAATCATCATATCAGACAAATGGGCATCTTGCTCATGTCTCAGAATAAAACATATCTGCACATTTAATTTTTTTTCAGTGTTGATGAGAGAAGGGCCTAAGAAAATTCAAAGAGGTTGTTTTGATAGGTATAAAAATACCTTAGTTATGGAAGCTGGCACTGAGAAATTAGTAAGTGTGAGATTTTAGAGTTGAAAAATTATGTAAGATTAAGAAACAATTTGGTATTTAATTTCATGTACATAGACACTATTCCTCTCTCTATATGTGTGTCTATGTTGGGTGAGCTCAATTTCCTCCTATCACTTCTATTTGTTTGTGTATTAAGTCCATTTTGTGCTTGGATATTCTCTTCTGTTGATATGGGTGAATGCTTCAACCTAAATTGTGAGAGTTAAGAAGATAAAGATTTCCTAAGGCAGTCACAAAAATTATTCTGCTTGCAGGCTTAATATACTGTATAGAGAATCATGTAGCTAGAAACTCTGAACAATACTGAGGATTTAGTGTATTCCAGTACATGTATCCTTTCTCCCATGCCACAAGATAAGGTTGTGTTAAATGCATGTTTTAAAAAGCTGAATCTCAAAGCTTTAAGTTTATAAGAAGAAATATTCATAACTCAGTGTTCTTTAATGGTCCAATGGAATAGGGTGACTGGGGTTCAAATCTGTGGTCAGCTATAAAGTTTCTTGTGTGAACGTAGGCCAGTTACCAGCTCTCCACCTACCCACGTGAAAGAGTTGTTGTAAGATTCAAATAACTTACTCTAAACACTGCCTTTAGAGTAAGGAACAAATACAAACCAAAGAAAACCTCTTAGTGGAAAGAGAATGTTCTTTGGAGTAAGAAGTTCCAGGATATTTCATGAACAATGAAAAACCTCTGCCTGAGACCTTGGAGAATTGGATTGGCTGGCTTCAGATTAAGTCAATTTATTAAAGTCTCTATAATAATCTTGTTCTATCACCATGAGCTCTTATGCAACCTAAACAAAATCATCCACATGAAGAGCAAGGGTAGAAACAAGATTGTGGAAACCCTGAAATCTAAAAAAGATACCAATAAATATATCAAAAATAAACTTTGAAAATTGTTTAATGAGGACAGAATTAGTTAAATGGACAGAGATTGCAAAGCAAGCAAGCCAGCCCAGCCCAGCCCAGCCCAGCCCAGCCCAGCCCAGCCCAGCCCAGCCCAGCCCAGCCCAGCCCAGCCCAGCCCAGCCCAGCCAGGTGAGGGTCGGGAGTGGGGGTGGGGAATGGCATACAGCATCCTACTTCACTTATCATCTCTAGCTACCATGGCCAATTGCCAGGAATGCTGTGATCCAAAATATCTGAACAGTGCCAAGCAGCTAAAGGAGAAAGAGGTCAGAGCTGAACAACCAGAACATGAACAGGAACATTCTACACTTTTTTATACAACAGTTATCCTCAGATTTGTTCAGCATGCAGGTAAGGGAAGCATTAGCCGACTCACAATTCTGGTAGTTTAGCATTTATTAAAATTATAGCACGATGATCATTAAGCTCCTGAGCACAGAGTTCCTCCAGTGACAACAGTTTTTCACCAGGTCTCACCTGTAAGAAATTTTCAATAAGGTACATGATATAATTCATTGTCTGCCACCTTTAGGAAATTCACAAAAAGTTACTGGGAGCTCTTGCTGATAATGATAAATATTAATTTAGTGCTAATCGCATAAGAAGAACGTTCATGAACTAAATACGTAAAAGAAGATTCAGTTTCATTTTAGCATATCCCTAATTTATCATTATATGCAAACTAAGAATTTTGATTGAAAGTAAACTGTAATTTATTAAACAAACAAGCAAACAAAACTCAGAGTTTGCGACTGGTTTATTTAGCAACTGACAAGAGTTTGCTTTAAGTCACAAATCCTGATCTTTACATAACAAGACAGATATCTATTAAAGCCAGTCTAAAGTTTCTTTTAAACCACAAATTTTTCTTATTGCATAACATAAAAAGCCAGATATCTGCTATTTTTGAACTTTACATGAGAATACTCTAACATGAAACTACTAAAAAAACCCAACTTGTTAAAATATTTATTCTTTCAATGTTGTTCATGTTTTGAATTTTTTTTTTCTTTTTGACACATCACAAAATTAGTATGTTTATAAGTACCAGCAATAAAGTATACAATAATGTTTTTATGGCTTCAAACTCCTATGTTCATCATTCAGAAAAAATTAAAAAGTCATATAACATGATAGGTGCTTGTACAATAAAAATCAAAGCATGGAACAAGTAATAGTAATAAAATGATTTCTGGAGTGTTTTTATCTTTAAAAAATAAAGTAACATATACATGAATATTAAAACAAAAAAAGTCCAACTGGGAAAAGTGAAACAAAGTAAACTATTACTACAAAATGGCATTGCAATTTCGGTTCCCTCCAAGATTCTCATCAGGGTTACAATAGCTAGAGGGCTTCTGGGGGAGGTATGGTGAACTGAAGACCGCTCTGTGAAAGTGGAGCTGACAACCACAGCAAAGACCAAGGAACTGGGGAATAGATCAGTTCCTTGGAACCTCTCTGGATAAGGAGAGGATGGAAGATCCACGCATATGCTCTGGACAGCTGCACCTTGCAAGGAGACCGCAGGACAGTGGTTTTCTGCAGGTTTGAGTACCGGAAGATGACAGGATCAGCCATCTTGCTCGCAACTGCAGCAGAGATTTTTAAAGGACACTAAGTTTGCAAACTTCACTTTCTAATCACTTTCTGAAATTGCCTATTAACTATTCTAAAGCTGTTAGAGAACTTCAGAACAACAAATTTGAAAAGTCTTCATTGGGTGAGTTTATCTTCAACTCTGAACAAAAGAAAAATTAATTACAAGCTTAAGAATTTAAAGACTTTGAAATAAAC